AGGAAGAGGAGGAAGAGGAGGAAGAGGAGGAAGAGGAGGAAGAGGAGGAAGAGGAGGAAGAGGAGGAAGAGGAGGAAGAGGAGGAAGAGGAGGAAGAGGAGGAAGAGGAGGAAGAGGAGGAAGAGGAGGAAGAGGAGGAAGAGGAGGAAGAGGAGGAAGAGGAGGAAGAGGAGGAAGAGGAGGAAGAGGAGGAAGAGGAGGAAGAGGAGGAAGAGGAGGAAGAGGAGGAAGAGGAGGAAGAGGAGGAAGAGGAGGAAGAGGAGGAAGAGGAGGAAGAGGAGGAAGAGGAGGAAGAGCAGGAAGAGGAGGAAGAGGAGGAAGAAGAGGAGGAAGAAGAGGAGGAAGAAGAGGAGGAAGAAGAGGAGGAAGAAGAGGAAGAGGAGGAAGAGGAGGAAGGGGAGGAAGGGGAGGAGGAGGAGGAGGGAGAGGAGGAAGAAGAGGAAGAGGAGGAAGAGGAGGCCTCCTCTGTGTCCCAGTCTGCCCTGGGGGAAGGGTCACCAGGGATGTACCAGTCACCATAAGTGCACTGAGGTGTAAACAGGCTGCTCCTTTTCTTCTGTCCTCTCATTACCAGCTCATTTATTTATGTGTCTGGGGTTTGCACATGGGCAGTGATGGAGTTACACAGAGACTGCTCCCTCGGCAAAGGCAGCTCACCACAGCTGGCCATGCTTTAGAAGAGTGCCTGTGAAAATTCCAGGTAAGACAGTTACATTCAGGCATCTTGACACAAAGCTACAGAGCAGATTTTACTTACTTTGGGAGAAAGCAGCATTTTTCTCTAAGGAATTGATGAGCAGTTGTGGGTAGATTTTTCTTTTCCTTTTTTAAAGCAGGTTGATGATGAAAAATCTCAGAACAGTATGACTATCATGAGAATGATTTCTAAAGCAGGAAGCATGACAGCCCCACACCCACAACAGCACAAGCAGCTGCCACACACAAGTTGCCAGGGCTGCTCCTGCGCCACTTCCAGCCATAGGAACCCTGACACTGTCTCAGTGCAGACACCTGCACAGTGAAGAATTAATCTGAAGTCCAGATAAGACAGAAAAAACAAATGGGAGCTACTACCCAAGTCAGAAGGTGTTTCACATCCTCTTCCCAAAGCAGGAACTGTGTATGATAAAGCCCAGCCTGAGCAGAAGCTCCAGAATCGCCATCACTCACACTCAGGATCTGCAGCACTCAGAAAAGAACTCATCAAGAAGAAACATTAATAATTAAAACAATCTCTAACCTAAAGGTCCCTGCAAAATTACTTCAGGGCCTCCCAGACTCTGGATGCTGGAAGAGAAATTTCTTCTTGATGCCAAGGAAAGAAAATTCAGAGCAGGTTGTTTAATTTTAATCTGGAACATTTCCACCTGTCCACCTTTTGTCTGCACAAAGCCTTTCCACATTCACAGGAAGCTGCTGGGTGTCGAGATGACCTTGGCAGCCCCTCTGCTCAGGAGGGACAGGACGGGGAGCAGGCACCGACAGCAGCGACCACAGCCCCGAGTTCCCAGGAGGGGAAACACAACCCAAGCTCTGTGGGGCCTCTGTGGCAGCACGGCCAGAGGACAGAATCCTCCTGCCTGCATCTGAAAACGCCTGGGCAGCTCTGCCCTGCGGTCTGGGAACCAACGGGCAGCACCCCTGGCCTGAGCAAGGCTGTGCTGCCCTTCTTCAGAAACTCCAAAGGGGAGCAGATCCTTCCTTCTCCAGAGGTCGGGGCAGCAGAGCAGCTGGTGCCAAAAAAGCAACAGCTCCTGGCAATGCCCCAGCTCCCAGAGCCTGTTTCACTGAGAAAGCAGCAGGAGGGGAACAATCAGGAACGACTGTCCCATCCTGGGCACTGCTGTGTGCTGTAAATCCCTGCTCACAGGGTACCCACACTGCAGAACAGCCAGGGGCTGTAAATCCCTGCTCACAGGGTACCCACGCTGCAGAACAGCCAGGGGCTGTAAATCCCTGCTCACAGGGTACCCACACTGCAGAACAGCCAGGGGCTGTAAATCCCCAGAACAAACGCGGATCTCCCCAGGGTGTGCTCGGTGCCAGGGCTGCAGCAGCTGCTCCCTGCGTGCAGGGCATCCAGCACGTTCTCCTCACATGCAGGAGCTTCAATTCCTTGGCAGTGCTGCAGGATTTGGGTGAAAAGGAGCTGCTGCCCTCTCAGGGGCTTTAACCCTTTGCCTTCCCCCGGCACTGTCAGGTGTGCTGTGCCCTGTTCCTTTTCACCTGCCCCGAGTTGGTTTTCCAGAGCAGGAGCAGGAAAACACAAACCTACTCACTCACTGATCCCCTGCCCCTGCATTTCCAGACTGGCAAGACCAGCTACAGAAAACCTTTTCCAGGGGAATATGATCAAGTGTAAAAAAGAAAAGTACTTACAATCTTGGAGAAACACAACAACATTCCGTGATTTTCAGAAGGAATCACCAACACCCTTCACAAATAAACAGGGACATCAGCAGCCCAGCCCAGCTGCTGCTGAGATACCACGGTAATGATCACACTAAAAGGCCTAATTCACTCTGATTTCACAGCCAAACCAGGTACATCAAGAGAACACCTTCTGCTTTTCTCCCAGTCTCTCTGGCAGTGTACCAATTATCACCGAGCTCAGATTAGCTCCTGTTTCCAAACAAATACTGGAAAGGTGAATCTCTTCCCCTGAAAACATTCTACAGCATAGTTAGCAATGTGCACTAAATGCTTGTAACCCAGAGTCATCTTCCAGAAAATAACTTTAAGGAGCTGTCAGTTCAAATCATCAAATCTAAACTACTTACTGTGTATGGAACCTTTAAGCTTCTGTTGAAAGCCAAAGATGCAGCTAACAAGCTCAGAGGTCTGCAGTCAGAGATGCCAGACAGTAACACAGTTCATGGGCTTGTTTTATATGCACCAGAAATCCATCAGCTCAGGAATCAATCAGTGAATCCTCACTGCCCTCAGTGAGGCAAGATTTCCTGCAAGAGTATTTTAGTTACCTGGAGCCTGATTTTTATAATCGTCCCTGGCACTCCCAGTAACCACAACAGATCATAACACGCTCGTGGAAAAGGCACTTCAGCATTCACCCGACATGCTTTTTAACACAAGGAACAAACAAAAAGACTGATCTAGTTTGGAACTTGAGGAATTATCCTGCTCTGGAGCTAGCAGGATGTAAAGGGAGCCAGAAGGCCTAATTCAAGTGCCAAAATGTACCTCAGCAGCATCACACATCTTCTGGGAGCTGCAGCTTCCCTCAGGAAGCTCGTCAGGCAAGCGCCACGGAGAGCCGGGGCTGGGATCCATGGAGGGAGCTCCACACAGCCCCAGAGCTGCTGCCACCCCACCCCAGCCTGCTGCAGCTGCTGCCAGAGCAGCTCACATGCTCCATGAACACTGAGTCATGCTGCTCAGGATGGGAATGAAGGGGATCTGTTCCAGCAGCAGCTCTGCACTCTGCAGGCAGCCCGCGCTGGACTCCGAGCAGCGGCTCACGGCATGCAGACGACTTGGGAACAGACAGCTACATGCACACGCCACTTTAAGAAAAGAGTTAAGCCTTTTCTTAAAGGCCTCTTTATTTTTAAATTCCTTCAAAACATAAATTAATTTAAACAAATCAGATGCAAAACACCTGCATTTTAAATTCGCATATATTTTACTGTATCAATCACAGCAACCTCATACAGTAAGATACACAAAAATAGAGCATGGTAGCACTTCAATTCAACACAGGTTTGTACTACAGGATTCCATGACATATATACAGAGGACTTCTCTTTTGCAGAGCAGGTACAGCCCCTGCCCTGGTCACCGTAAAAATTACGTGGCATCACAGTTTTATTTGTCACTGTAGTGTGAGGAGCCATATGGAAACTGAACTGGTGAACTAGGAGATACACTGTAGAGCAGCCAAACAGGCATGACACTGCAGGAGGTGGACAAAACCCAAAAAACCACCGAAATTAAAACCACCCTTAGACTGCATTTTAATAGTAAAATTGTTTTTAAATTCTTCACTATATACATAATGTATCTACATTTGTGTAATATTTATATATATATATATTTATAAAAAACATACAAGATTGAAAACCTTAAAATCATTCACTTAATATTCACCCCAACCTTCAGGGTCAGCAAGGCAGTACTTGCCCTTGACATTATGTTCAGTTGCAGTCCCTTGATTCAGAGTTTCCCTGATTGTTAAACACACACTGTTCACTTTGTTTCTTAGTGCAAACTGGACAGTAACTTTTTGTTCTCAGCCCTCTGTAAGACCCAGGTTTCATCTTATCTCCACAACACTTCTGACACCCAGTTATGGCTAAAATTATTTTAGCTATTTTACAACACTAGCCTATGTAATTTTCCCCTCTACCTACCTGAAGCCCCCCCCACCCCAAAAAATATAAGACAAACGATCATTCATGCATGTTCCTGTCACACAGGGAGTGATGGACATTGAAGTTGAGAGGCCTAGACTCCAACAGTGATTGTTCACTCCAAAGTGAATCGTTTCAGTGCAAAGTGGACTACAGAGTTTACATCTCAGCTAGTTCTTTACAGATACTTTAAACACATTTAATTCTGCACATCAGTATAGGTTGCCTGATACTTTGTGCTAACTAGCTATAGTTGGAATAAGGGAATTAGGATTCTTAGGGGTTTTCTTTTCATAAAAAACTAAAGTCTATTCATAACCAGGTGGTGTTTGGGGGTCAAACTGTACAGAGCCCAACACAAGGGAGTCCTGCTGCTCAGACAGGGTTCCCAAGTGCTATAGCAAGAGACAAAGGTTATTATCTGATTCACATCTGTAACTGAGGAGTTCACTTGAACAGGAGTCACAAATGAGCTCTGATTTTCACCCAGGCCAGTGCTTTACTTGCTGGACTACACTACAGACAGACTGGCAGTGAATTTGGAAGCAAGCAGAACACTGATACTTAAAATTTCCATGAGCACAAAGAAAAAGCGTGCACTGAGAGCAAAATCCTGCAATTCTTAGACAAGACTCTGCTCAGATGAGCAGCAGCCTTAACAGAGGGAAAAAAAAAGATTAAAACCCAAGAACTGATCAGAGCCAAGAACATCATTCTGCCACAGTGCCTATAAGCTATGAAATACAGTACAAGGAAAAACAAAAAGTCACCTGAAACAAATAACCCAGAGAGATTTCATAGTTATAATGATTCTATCACTTTTAAGAACTCAACATATTAAATATTTATTAAAAATAAACTGTTTCCAAATCACCTATTTACAGTACAAAGAACAGTACTTAAACCATGTGCAACAGAAGGAAAATGGACACTCATCTGAGAGGACAACACTCCAGGCATCATCTGAGTGACACAGATACAGGATCACCTCTTTCAAATACCACACAGTGAAACCCAGAAGGATGATATTGGCAACACTGGAAAATAAAGCACATGTTGTCCAGATCCAGGTTATATAAGCTTGAGATAAACAACCAGAGAAAGAAGGGGAGAAGGAGGAAACAAAGACAAAAGGAAGAGAGGTTGTGGTGTTTGCATTTTGGAGACCAAGAAATGCAGACACACATGAAAAATAGTCCTTGGTGGCAAAACAAGCCATTCACATATTTCCTGCACATTTTGAAGTCATACTTTATCAAAAACTGGCAGTGGTTTCCTCACTCATAGAAAATGAGAATCTTAATTCTCTGACTTTGTTTCAAACACTGCCTGGTTTTACTTGGGCAAGATATGATATAATAGGAAGGTATGATGTCACTTTTTAAAAATACAACAGCTGCCAAGTTTTAAGGAAAAATGTGCTCTTCTCCCCCATCTAAGTTGAAAAGCAATGCTCCTTTAGGAGTTACCTAAATTATAGCAGCATGAAATCGAATGGATCTGCAGCATCTGTGAAGCCATAAAAATCAAGAACTGGCACCTGATCACTGAACCATGGTTCCAAATATCTGGACATGTGATTTTGGCAAGAGGTCAGCGTGGAGTCAGAACATTGGTTAGGATAGCCCTTTCCTCTCCCCCTTTCCTTCCCTTCCCAAAGTGACTCAAGCAGTCTATCTGTAAACCACGTGGGACAGCTGGGATGATTTATAGTTTAACTGGTTGTTAGGCAGGAACCTGTGCAGGTCGCTCTTCCTGCAGCACGGGTCGTAGTAGTAGGCGTTGAGGCAGGTGTCACACGAGACCTTGGAGCAGAAGGTGCACGTGTTGGCGGCTCCCGAGCGGTTGCAGAAGCCGCAGCGCGAGGTGCCCGAAGGCTTGGACTTGGAACTGAACTGAGCAGCTCTGTCTTGACTCTGAGTCTGTGACGTGTACTGAGACTTCTCCCTCAGAGCCGGCGCGGGAGACAAGCCATCGCTTGGGAGGGCTTTGATGGAATAGGAGCTCTGCTTCACTGCTGGGTACTCCTGCCTCGAGCCGAACAGGCCGTCACACTTCTGGCAAACAGAAGTGCCACAAGGGATGCCACAGTTCTGGCACTTGGAGGAAGCTGTCTCTTTGGCTAGGTGGGTGCGTTTGTGGTAAACAGGGTTGGCATCGCTTTTTAACAGCCATACATCAGACTTAATAGCGTCTTGTCTTTTGAAATTTAACACACTTCTAGAATCGGGTTCAGTATATAAATCTAAGTCCTCTTGAGCAGAAAAATAGGAGCTGTAAGGGACATTTGTTCTTAGCATGCCATTGTGATGAGAGGAAGTTGACAAGTATTCGTCTGAACACCCGTGCGGGGAGCTGGACATGGCCAGCAGAGAGGGCGACGGACGGATAATTTCATCTTTAATGTCATCTTCCGCATCGACCAAAATCGGCTCCTTCCTGAGGCTCAGCGAGCTCATCAAAGGCGGTTTCTTGCTCTCCCAGTAACTGTCATACGTATCCACTGACTTGGAAGGCTTGCTCACCTTTGGCTTGAAGTAATCCTTGGAGGCGCGCTCGCTGGCGGATTTCTGGAGCACCATGCGGGCCATGGACGTGTTGAGGGTCTCCTTGCACTCCAGGCGCCGCCGCATGGCCTCGGAGCAGCCCCGCACGTCCTCGCTGCTGTTCTTGCGCTCGTTGATGACATCCATCTCGGAATAACCCTTGTCCTTCACTTGCAGGTGGATCTCCAGCAGCTGCTCGCATTCCACCTTGGCCAGAAAGAGCTCAAATGAAATCATTTTCACTTGGATGGCGTCGACCTGCTCTTTGAGCTTAAACGTCGTTCCCAGTTCTTGGACGTAGCCCATGTAGCTCAGAATGTGCCTCACATCATCCTCCGTTAGAGCAGACTTCACGTGATAAACAAAGGGCCCAGTGTAGGTCTAAGGGGGGTGGGGGGAATAAAAGGAAAACTAGGTTACAAATTCAGTGGTGGACTGGATGTTCAGATAATTCAGTGACAGAGACCATATAATTAAATACAATAATAACAACTCTGAACATGCACAACTGCCTTGGCAAGATGAGCTCGATTTCTGCACCCCTCCTGCTCAGCAGATGGAAATTCCACATGAGGGAAATTCAAAGCAGAAGAGTTTTCATTCAATTTAAAATCCTGATTAGCATAATGTCCTCCCTGGTGATTTAAATCACTCTGCTCTGCACTAGCATTAACTTTAATGCATACTGGACATATTTGAATTTACAGAAAGTCTACCATGAAAGGCAAAAAGGCCAGGATTTTGGGAACTACTCTACCCAGGGACAAGCTGGAGCTAACAGGAACTCAGAATTACTGCAGGAGTGCCAAACTCCTCTTCAATTCAGCTTTAAATATACTTGAGGTGCACACTTCTTTGTGTACTGTTACTATGCAGTTTCAAATGTCAGTTTTATTCAATTTAATATTAATTCAAAAACTTCCACTAAAAGAGCCCCAAAAGCAGAGATGAGTTTCTGCAAGCTGAAATGCCCTCAGCATCTGGCACACCTGAGGGATGTGCTAAGCCCAGTTCAGCCTGCTCTGAGTGCAGGCAGGAGCAGTCTGCCCATCACAGGCAAAAGAGAAAACACAAAACTCAGCACAGAGAGCTCCCAGTGAGACTTCAGCACCCAAGCCCAGCAGCAAGTTCCCACTTTTCCCTTTGGGAGCCTGCCTTAGGTAGATACATTTGAAAGCACCTTAAAATCAAAACATCAGGAACTGAGCACTGACAAACAGGTCAAAGATATTCTGAAAACAATTATTTTGCTGAAGTTCCTTCGTCATTATCACACAACTTGTGAGAACCTTGGCAAAGCATCCACTTGAACACACACACTGGGTTTAATATTTGTGTCCAGCAACAGCTGTGGTAAGACAAACCAAACTCTGAGTCAGCTTAAATCCAGCTGGACCACTCACCATAGTGAAAGCCTCTCCAAGGAGAAATAAACTAGTGCAGCAAGGGAGGCTGAACAACAACCTTAAATAAGCTCTTCTCCTACTTTACACACATTCTAATTGCAGATACTGCTTGTACTTCTGCTCTGGAGATACTCTCACCAGCACAAACTTCACTTATTTTACCCAGAAACTTTCTTATGGCTTCTGTTTACCAACTGCATATAGAGAAATAGATATATAGAGTATGCTATAAATGGAAAAAAGAGGAGCCTTTAAAGGAAATGCATGAAATGTGCTCACAGAAAGAAAAATAAATCATGTTCTCAGTATGGCTACATAAGAAAGTCTTACCTTAATGTTTTTGAACTCCTTTTTCCAGGGGTACAGAAAGAGATTAATTCCAACTGTCTCAAGCATGTTGAATGCATTATGGAGACAATGTAAACTTGAGGATTTCACAGATCTCAGTGAGTTTTCAGCCATCTCGTAAAATTTTATCAACCGGAATCGATAAAAGGGATCAATTTTGGGAAGGCAAAGTAAGGCTGCTGCCGCCACTCGCAAGTACTCATCGTTAATAGGACGCTGCTTGTTGTCAGAGGCATTCAGTTTGCATTCGTGGAACTGTACATACTTCCTAAATAAATCGTCTTTGTATTTTGTATCCATTGAAATCAGATTTTCACTCACGCTGGGGGCAGCTACCTCCTCTCTTTCATGGTTATTTGGGAGTGGGTTGGGTGTCTGGCATTAGGAATCTTCAGCAATGGCAAGTGTCCTGGAATAGAACTGAAAACAAACACAAGTCACCCCAGGTGCACACACCCCAGCTGTCCCCAGCACCTCCTGTCCCTCGGGGCTCTGTGACATGGCTCACAGAGCTGCAGCTCCCTCACAGCCTCTCCAGGACTCTGCAAAGGCACAGGAGCCACAGAAATGTCACTGTCCTGCATTCCACCATCACTCTCCACTCGTTTTCCAGGTCCCTGCCCATTTTGCTCATTTTCTGACAGTATCTGCTATTCCCCCTCACCTCTTGTGGCACAGGACTGTCCCTAGGCTGAGCAGGTTTATTGACTTTGCCTTTTGATTTCTAACATTTTCAAGGCTCTTGACAGGCACTGACATTGCTCCTGCTGGTACCCCCAGTGCAGCTGGGGCAGCTCTGCAGCCGCCTCCAGAGCACCCACTCCTGACTGCTGCAAACCACAGCCCAAATTCCAGCTGATGGCTGCCAGCACCACTGTGATCTTCTGGCAAAACAGCTACACCTGCCACCTCCAGCTGCTTTGTGGGAACCGAGTAAAACCTGCGTGTCCGTCATGCACACTTTTGTTTGCAGGGATAGTTGTTTTTATGGATATACTGATCTGCATTTTCAGTGCACTGAGCTCACACACTGAGCTGAAATAGCTGCTGACCAAAGAATGTCCCAAATGCTGCTTTACCAGAACCAAGGTAATTAACAGGCCAACAGACTCCATCTGCAATGCCTGAGAACTTGTGATCAAAAAGCAGACCATGGGCTTTGTTTATTACATAAGAAGACAAAGCAGCTCTTGACCTGAGAGGAGTTGGGAGAAATCAGTGCACTGTTCCAGATGTAATCAGTCTCATACAGCACTTCAGAAAAGACTTTTCACTCAATATTAACTGTGGCTGCTAGAACACTGATCAACACTCCTGTTAAAGGAAAATCGCTGTTACGACCAAGATCAGCTGAATGAAAGGAGCCAAAACACAAAATACCAACAACCAAGAGGCCAGGGAAACAAACAAGCAACAAAAGCAACAGCCTGGCAGTTAACATTCCTTGATGAAAGGCTGTGCTCAGTGCCAGCCCCGTGTGGGGAAAGTTAAGTAGCAGTTCTGCTTGCGCTCCAAGGCACACGCGCTCCTGTCAAGAGACAGGCTGTGAATCACAGGAAATGTGGAGTGCTAAATTAACATCTGAGCATAAGGGCCAGGAGCAGTCCCTTCCCTCCCCACGTTCCTCCGCAAGTTGTGCAGGATGAAGTCTGTGGACAAAGACGGCAGAGTCTGTTCCTTGGCAAGAAGAGCGGCACACGAGAATTGCAGAGAGAGATCTTTGTCTGGCACGTCAGCACATCACCCCCAGGACACAGAGGGAGCCAGTGCAGGCAAGGAGCGGGATCCAGAGCCCAGCTCTGCCACGCCAATAGCCAGCAAACAGAGCGCTTGGTTACACGTGAGACCCGTCAGGGACAGCGAGTCCCCAGCTGACAGGAGAGCCCTTCACCGAGGCCTGCAGGCTGTGTCTCTGCCAGCCCTGCCTGTGCCCGAGCGTGGCAGCCGAGCCAGGGCGCGCTGGGCGCCGGAGCCTGCGAGCGCTGCCGGGGCTGCTCCGGCACGCACAGCCCCAGGCAGCGCAGAGCCCGTGCCGGCAGCCCACCAGCACAACATCCATGGTTACAGGCTGCCGACAGCCTCACCATGCGAGCAGGCACGGATAAATATAGGCTTTAGCAGCACCCTGACTGACAGAACGCACAGAAGGAACAAGGCCGCTTTGCTGCAAGGCATTTGTTCCAAACCTCAGCGTTTCCCACAGATGCAAGAAGAACACATCCTGATTGGAGTCCAGTATCTGCTGTTGAGACAAGAGAATGTTTCTGTCCATCTCCAGGGTCAAAACCTCACCCGAGGGAAGCAGCTACTCTGAGCACTCGCTTGTACAAAACCCTTAACAGCAGTAGGGAACTAACAGCGGGCACACACAGACACACACACACACAGACACAAACACACACACAGACACACACACACACAGACACAAACACACACACAGACACACACACACACACACAGATACAAACACACTGCACACACACAGTGCACACACACAGTGCACACACTGCACACACACGCACACAGACACACACACACACACAGATACAAACACTGCACACACACAAACACACACACAGACACAAACACACACACAGACACACACACACACACAGATACAAACACACAGACAAACACACACTGCACACACAGTGCACACACAGACACACACACACACATACAAACACTGCACACACACACACAGATACAAACACACTGCACACACACAGTGCACACACACACAGACACACACACACACAGACACACACACACTCCGCACACACACACAGACACACACACACACATACAAACACTGCACACACACACACAGATACAAACACACTGCACACACACAGTGCACACACACAGTGCACACACTGCACACACACGCACACAGACACACACACACACACACAGACACACAGTGCACACAGACACAGACACACACAGTGCACACAGACACACACACACACAGACACACACACACACAGACACACACACACAGTGCACACACACACAGTGCACACAGACACGCACACACACACACAGACACACAGACACACACACACAGACACTGCACACACACACACACACACACCCTCCCAGAGCACAGCCCTGTGCCACCGCGCTTGGGGGCCACAAACGCCGGGGGGGCCCCCAGCGCCCGAGCTCGCTCCGGACACGGACACTACGATCGGCACGGGAGCGGCACCGAGCGCGGGCAGCCCGCGGAGCCCCGCGGGAGCTGGGGCGGCTCGGGCCGCTCCGTGTCCGGGACACTTGTTGCACAGCCGGGTCGAGGAGTCCCGGGACACCGGCAGGGCCTCCGCGGCGGCACCGCCCCCCGGCCGCCCCGCCGCCCTCACTGTGCCGCGGCCACGGCGCCCGCCCACCCGCCCGGGCTGAGCCCCCGCTCCGCGGCCTGCCCCGTCCCTCACCGCTCCGCTCCGCCGACGGGACCCGCCGCCGCTCCACCGGAAGCGCTCGGTGCCCGGGATGCTGCCCCGCGTCCCGACGCGCTGCCCGGCAGAGCCGCGGAGGCCCGGCCTGTGCCGCGGACGGAGCGCGCCCGCCCTCACGGCTCGGGCAGGGCCGCGGCGGCGGCAGCGGCGGCCCGGAAGTGAACGGCGGGGCGGGAGTACTTCCGCCGTGTGACGTCATCGGGGCGGGGCGAGAAGGGCGGGGCGGTGCCCCGGGGCAGCGCTCCGGGGGTTGCCGGGGAAGAAGCGGCCGTGAAGCGGCCGCGGGGCTGTGACACCGTGGGGCGTTAGGGCACCGCCGTGCCCGGAGCGGCGCCGGCACCGCGCGGGGCTCCGCCGAGCTGGGCCCCGCCCGCCGGCCGCTGCCCGGGGATGGCGGCCACGCCCCACGGAGGCCCCTCCCACAGAACTGGTCCCGCCCACAGCGCTGGGCCTCGCCCCCACGCGCACCGCGGGGCGGGGCCGGGCGGGGCCGCGCCTGCGCAGGGCCGCCCCCTGGCGGCGCGGCGGAAGATGGCGGCGGGCGGGCCGTCACGGCCCCCGGAGCGGCGAGCGGACCCGCTGGCCCGCCTCACCTGCCCCGTGTGCCTGGAGGTGTTCGACAGCCCGGTGCGCGTCCCCTGCGGACACGTGTGAGCGCCCGTCGCCGGGCCGGGGTGCGGGGGCCGGGGCTGGGGCCGCGGGGGCTGCGAGGCCTCGGGAGGAGCCGCCGCTCGGGGCCCCATCAGCGGGGTAGGGCTGACCTGCAGCGGCCTTGAACGGGAGAAATCGAAAGAAAAGCGGGCGGGAAAGGAAACCAGTGTTCTTCCACTTTCGCTTCCCGTCTCTCCTGAGGAATGCGGGCGCTGACTGACAGGACAAGGGGGAATGGCTCCACACCGACAGAGGGCAGGCTGAGGTTGGATGTCGGGATGAAATTCCTCCCTGGCAGGGTGGGCAGGCCCTGGCACAGGTGCCCAGAGCAGCTGTGGCTGCCCCTGGATCCCTGGCAGTGCCCAAGGCCAGGCTGAACAGGGCTGGGAGCACCTGGGACAGGGGAAGATGTCCCTGCCATGGCAGGGGTAGCACTGGGTGGGCTTTAAGGTCCATTCCAACCCAACCCGTTCCATGATTCTGTCCAGAAACCGGGGGCACAGAGCACTGTCCGACAGCAAGCAATTCTGGGTGTGACAGCCTGGGATCCTCCACCTCCTCCCTTCATGCCCAGCAGCTCCTTCTTACCCTTTATCGAGTCTAAAGGCTCTGTTGCTCCTCGGGCAGAGGCCGTGCAAGGGCAGTGGGCACTGCTGATGCTCAGAGGGCTGTCTCACCACCTCCTCTTTTCTCTCCCCACAGCTTCTGCACGCCGTGCCTGCAGGAATGTCTGAAGCCCAAGAAGCCAGTCTGTGGGGTGTGCCGCAGCACCCTGGCACCTGGGAGCAGAGCTCTGGACCTGGAAAAGCAAATTGAAACGACAGAAACCACTTGCAACGGCTGCCATAAAAAAGTATGACAGTGTTTGGAAATTAACTATGTAAGCTGCGTCAGCCTAGGGGAAAATAAACTGCTTCCTCATCAGCTTTCTCAAAATCAGGTCAAAATGTTTGTTCTGATACGTGCTGAAGGTGTTTGATATAGGCAGCACCCAATGTCGACATTCTTTCCACAGTTTTTTGTTGTTACCTCTTCAGGAAATGAATTTCAAATGAAAGATTCTGATTTTAAAGTTAGCGTGAAAGGTTGCTGCTGTGAGTATGGTAACATAGCACAGACAGCAGAGTTACAGCTTAACTAACCTGTAATCTCAAAAGTTTTCCGTCTGGGCAGCTGAAGCATTTGGACTTTCTGCTTTAACACTTCTGAAAGCTGCTCAGGTTTACACATTTGCTGCTTTCGGTTGAAAGTGTAGCAGGAAGGGCAGGTGGTTTGAGCTGACCTTGCTGTGCTGCTGTTGCCTGCACAGATGTACCTGTCCAAGATGCGCAGCCACGCAGCCTCCTGCTCCAAGTACCAGAATTACATCATGGAAGGTGTGAAGGCTGTTACTAAAGAGCCCCTCCACAACACCAGGTAACACCTCTGCTCTGAAGTCCTGGGCTTTTCTGTCACGAGAAAGAATTGTGAATTAAAAGCAGACTTTACCTCTTTGCTTAGTTAGGGTGTTAATTTTTATATAGTGAAAAACTGAGCTTTGATCTTGCAGCTGGCTGCGCCCAGATAAACTCTGCATCTTCTGTTTGGTCAGTGCACAGGACATCTCTAAGATGAGGGCATTCTGTAGGTGTATCTGGCTTTTAGAATACCTCTGTCTCCTGATTGTACTCGCCCACAATGGAGGGAAGTGGGAATTGCTGGCAGTGCACTCTTGCGTGTGGCTGGGGTGGTGCCCTGGCACTTGAGAAGAAGGTGATAAATGGCACTTAGATAAATGGCATTTGTAGAAGAGCTGGAATTCAGTCTAAATATGGGCAATATTGTGTTCCTCAGAATACTCTTAGGAGTTTAGAAACTGACTGTTAAAATTAGCTTGCCTTAATAGCATAGGTAATTTCTTGCTTTGAATAATCTGTATTTGTAAATAACCTCCTTTTCTCCCCCAACCAGGAGCTTCCCAAATCGCTTCACCTTCCCCTGCCCTTACTGTAGCGAGAAGAACTTTGATCAAGAGGGACTGGTTGAACACTGCAAAGCTTTGCACAGCATGGATGCAAAACAAGTGGTAATAAAAAATTTTGGTGCAAGAATTGCAATGAAGTCTAGTCTTAAAGCCCTTTGAAACAATGAATTAGAGACTTTTGAATTAAGTAGGTGTAATTAGTGCTGTTCAGTCAGTGTGGCTGTGCTTGTCATGCCTCTAAGCCTGGTGTGGTTCTGCTGTCACCTTGCAGTGGCTCTCTGGTCTCCACCCACTGCAGCCAGGCCACATCCTCTTTTCATCCTGGCAAAATGGCACACAATCGAAGTTAATTAGGCACAGCAAAGTAATAAAACATCGTTTCAAAAAAATGTCAGATATTTAATTTTTTCCTTGTTCTTCACCTTGTTTTCAGCAAGAAGATACTGTAAACTATTGGGGAAAATGCATGCAAAAAATAGTGTATCATTCTAGTAATCTATCTGTGATACTTCCTCTCATGTAAGAGGAATTGCAAAACATGGAACTGAATTGGAAACTCATTTTTCTGGGAAGTTTTTTGGAATTACAGATTATCCGGGAAAAAAAAGTTCCTTTTCTCCCTTGGAGAGAAGTGAACTTTGCAAAGAAGACCAAGGAAACTTTCCTGCCACTGAGAAATACAGGCTGAAATCTTCTAAAGCAGGAGGCTTTAATGAGTTCTGATTTCAGAACGTGGGAGAAGAGTAAGCCATTCTGTTTCAGGGATCCAAGACATGAATTAAAATTATTCAGGGTTATCTGAGGCTTTTGCATTACATGTCCCAGCAAGTTATTGGCCATCACTTTGCATACAGAACAGTGAGAGCACAAACCTCGAGCTCCACTCCCCCAGGCTGTCCCTGCCCTTCCTGCTGTCAGCATCAAAGCACTGAGCCACTGGGGCCTAACTGGCTTTTTTTCCTTGAAGGTTTGCCCAATTTGTGCCTCAATGCCATGGGGAGACCCCAATTACAGGAGTGCAAACTTCATGGAGCACCTGCAGAGACGCCATCGCTTTTCCTATGACACCTTTGTGGTAGGTTTCTGCTCCCCCTTGGAGCACAGCTGGGGGCTCATGGAGCTCCCTGGGCACTGCTGTGAAAGCCCAGCGTGTCCTGGTGTGTCCAGGGGCACAGGGAAGTGCAGCTCTTGCTGCTGTCACTTGCACTGACCAGCGTGGCTGTTGTTTCTGTGCCCTCTGTTCCAGGACTACGATGCTGATGAGGATGATATGATGGCACAGGTTTTGATGCGCTCTTTGAGGGATAAGTGATCCAGCCAGAAGATTTACTGCAAACCCAAGCTTCCACGAGGGGGAAATGCCCAGCATCCTTGCACTTCTCCCAGCACATCCCAAGATTAACTCAGGCATCCAGAAGTACAGAAGACTTTAATCCTATCTCAGTTTTAAATCCTGGTTTGATACTTCTGTACCGTTCAGTCTTTCAGTATCATGGTTTCTGACATTCAGCCCTGTCAGCCCCATTTTTCTACTTGCTTAGCCTGTTTCATTGTAGATCAACAGGTGGGAACCAAGTTTTTTTCTTTACCTATGCCTATTGGTTTCTTTGAAAGTTGTGTTTATTTGACTGTCTAAAATCAAAAACATTCCAAATGGAATGGCCTGAACTAGTTAATAAATATCTTCCCAATCTCATGTACATATCTCAAGTGATTGTATGTGAGGTGTTCTGGTAGCTCTGTTCCCCTTTAGTGAGACTTCAGGTGCTAACTGTAACTGTCAGACCAGCTCTCATTCAAGTGACCTCTGATCCCTGTGATTCCATAATGTTTCCCAGTGTTTCAGTCCTTACAGGAAGCCTCCCAACTGTATGGAAAACATATCTTCAGTATGAGTGTTCAAACTGCAAACTTTCCTAGGAAATCTTTGCACTGTGTAAAAACTAGTTCAAAATACGTCAGTTCTATGCATGATTACTTTCCTCCATACTCTTACTATAATTTCTAGCCTGGAAAATTATCTTTAGTGTTGGTCTTAATTAAAATGCATAATTTTTTAATTATCTTAGCAAATATTAATCAAAATTGCTGGCTTTATGATTAAATTGGTGGGTTTGAAACTGGTTTCCTAGTAATTTTAAGCCTTATGCTGATAGGGGAATTCAGAAGGATTTTTTCAATACCTCGGCTTTCTAGTTCAACTAAAATTTTCGTGTATCTTCTTGGGTTTTCCATCTCTCAAGGCAAGCTGGTGGAAAAACAAGTAATTCATAGCACTGGCATAGCACTTCCTTTCTGCATCACAGATTTTATCAGGTATTTTGAATTCCTGTTCTTCATTTAAATGTTCCTAAAGTAGCTGAAGTACTTGGATTGTTTGCCATCTGGCAGTGTGTGTGTAGAGTCAGGTGTAGCTTTCAAAGAAAAGTAAAATACAGCCCTGAGAGCAGGACAGTTCCAGCCCCTGGTGGATACTCTGTGTTCAAACCTACACTTTTACCATGGAGATTCCTTAGTTTGATTTTGATGCTCTGTTAAGTTCACAGTTGAGCTGTTGAGATCTCAGGCACCTGAGCAGAACCTGTAAATCACAGATGTCCAATGCAAGTGTTGTAATTGCAGCAGAGGATCTGCACCACCCCAGAACTGAGCACTAATTAATAGATTTGATCAGGAACCTTGTCCCATGGTGCTCTGCAGGCGGCAGCATAGCCTTACCCTGAGAATAATGAAACACACTCCGGCTAAAACCTCGTGGTGCAGCCTCGTGTCCAGCCTCTGGCACCTCTCAGCTGACCTCGGGGTTTGTTCCTTCCCTGTGGTAGGGCCTGTCCCACTCTGACCCCTGAGCACCCGTGGGGCACTGGGAGCCCAGTGCTGTGGGGCTGGGAGATGTGAACCTCTGGCTGTGTGGGAAGTGCTGTGTTTGGGGGTGGTTATTGAGTGCCCTGCAGATGGTCTGATGGGGATTGGATGGGATCTCTGGGACGTGGCTACAGTGCAGTTTGGTGATGCCCATTGCCAGGAATCCAGATTCCTGCTTCTGTTCTAAGTGCACTTCCATGCAATTCTGATAAAATGTTTAAGGAGCAATTAGATGCTTCCGAGTAATTTCTTTGTCATGTTTTAGACTTTTGAAGACAAGTTACAAATAAAGGCCATTTAATTTATAAAATCCTACCTTTGTGTCAGCTCTTGTCATTTCTTCCTCATGGCTCACGTGTTTCCTTTGAGCCCCCACCCAGAGTGTTTGCAGTCGCTGGGGTACACCCGACTGAGAGTCCCTGATTGATTTAAAGCCGCTCTGGTGAGAGGCCCTGTGTGCTCTGCACGTCCTCCACTCATCTCCTTTGGCTGGTGAAAAGAAGCCTTGGAGTAGAACCAGCCTGTTTGGGCTCCCAAAGGTGGGGAGTGTCCCTGGGAAGGGTGCAGTGTCCATGGGAAGGGTGCAGTGTCCCCGGGAAGGGTGCAGTGTCCCTGGGAAGGGTGCAGTGTCCATGGGAAGGGTGCAGTGTCCATGGGAAGGGTGCAGTGTCCCCGGGAAGGGTGCAGTGTCCCCGGGAAGGGTGCAGTGTCCCTGGGAAGGGTGCAGTGTCCCCGGGAAGGGTGCAGTGTCCATGGGAAGGGTGCAGTGTCCCCGGGAAGGGTGCAGTGTCCATGGGAAGGGTGCAGTGTCCCCGGGAAGGGTGCAGTGTCCATGGGAAGGGTGCAGCTCTCTCTGCCCGAGCTGCTCTCGCCTCGTCAGCAGCCGATCCTGCCGCATTGTGGGATAATGCAATCAGCCAGCCCGGAGCTGTGACATTCCCCGTGTCTGGCACAAAGTCAGCCTGAGGAGGACGATTAGCACAGAGACACACAACGGGAGGAGCCGGCCTTGCAGTTGAGCTGTTCTATCAAATGAATTTGTCTCCAGACAACGACTGGTCTTAATAGGTCTGATAAATTGTTGTCAGCATTAATTTCTTAATGCACGGGCATTGCTTCATCTGGAATTGCAGCGGTAAATCCCCACGGCCTCCTTAGGCTGGGGATGAGATCTTGCCAAAGCCTAAGTGCTGTATTCCAGGTTCTCATGTCACCTGACTGGAAAGAAAACAGCAAATTTTCTTCAAGGCCTTTGCCCGGCTGTACTGGACACTCGCTGGTGAGCCCATCTCAAAAAGGATTTACCAACCAAGGCTTTCCAAGTCATGGAAAAGCAAATAAGGGATGTGCTTACAGTCCTAAAGCTTTTCTTTGGTGTAAATATACTAAAAATTACAGTGGAGCATCTGCCTGTTTTGGGGCTGGATTTTTGTTTATTTTTCTGACATACAGCTTTGTGTCACAGTTGCATTGGTCTGTGCTTCATCAAAAACAACTCATTTTTATGGGCAAATCACATTATTCTCTGGGTGGTACGAATGAGGATTGTTGAAACCATTATGAGACTTTCCTTTTCCTTCCTTACTCCTTCCCCAAAGCTCCAGAAAATACTCTGCACTTGGTGAAAAGTAGGTGTCGCTGCTACTGGCTTGGACCTCTCTTCTAGTTCTCACATTTATTCTGTCTTTAGAGATGCTGGGGTTTAAAAAAACCTAATTCCGTGGATCTTCTGGAGCTGCTGGAGTGTCCCGTGCTGTGGGTGAGGGTCCCTTGGGCAGCCCGAGTGAGCGGCGGTGGGTGAACGGCAGAGGGAGGTCTTGCATCTCGGAGAGAGCGGGGCTCGCTCCTCCCGGCCGTGCCTTTCAGGGAGCTTCTCCAGCCCTGCAGGGAGGCTTCACATCCCGTCCCACGGCCAGAGCTTCTCTTTTTCCCACCACAGCCTCCCTTGGCGGGAGGAGCTCTGCCCTGCAGACAGATATTCAAGATGCTCCATGGAGACGTGGGGCCAGGGAAGTAAAAAGAAGAATTTTCATCTGACTTGTTGCTCTGGAGGTGGTTGAAGTGTGTTTGTGAGCTCCTCTAGGACTGGAGCTGTGCCACGGGCTGGTGGCAGGTCTGCTCTGACCACCTTGGGGCTCAGCCGATGTCCTCTGTGATGGTGAGGGTGGGACGACTGAGAAACTCAGTGCCACTTCCAGCCCGTGAGCCTCTGCAGAGCTTCCCCTCCCCTGTGTCCTGTTCTGGGTCCCCTCTCATAGGCTCACAGGTAGGTCTGGCCGCTTTCTCCCTTGATCTCGTTTTCTCCCCTACCACAGGCAAGTTTTTTCCACGCGCAGTGGTTGGAACAGATCTGATTATTACCATTTCAGAAAGAAAGCAGGAGAAAGAAAACCAGCTCTCTGTGTTCCTCGTGCGAGTGTCCCCACTGTAACCACATCCGCGGCAGGTGGAGCGCGGGGGAGGCACCTGCGCTGCCCCGGGGAGCGGCACCTCCGGACCGCCAGACAAACGGGGGACCCGACCTTTGGGACTGGCGTCCCCCAAGGCCTTCGGGGGCACTTTTCGCCTTGAACCTCCGGCTGAGCCAGGGATGAGCTCTGCATATAAACACCTGCTGAAAGCCACGGGCAATTCCGCAGCAAAGGAGGGATGATCCAGTACCAGAGCACGTGGCTGCAGGGGAAAAGTTTGCAAATGCGTCTGGCTCGGGCAGGATGCGCGTGGCTGGCAGGACAGGCTCTCCAAGCTGTTCCTGCCCTGAGGAAAGGCTGACAGTGAGCTCAGCCGTGCGCTGCAGCCGTGCCAGTGGAAAGCTTTGCTCCCACTTCTGCATTTCACGTCCTTGTGGCTAAACAGTAAGATGCGGTCGTCAGGGGCTGGCGCAGCGCTGTGTGACGGCTGAGTCACGAGTGGCCCAGCACACGGCGCATTTCCGAGCGGCAGGGCCGGACGAGGCATTCCCCGCAGGACCCGTTCCTCCCTCGGCAGCTGCCTTGGCCCGGAGCGGAGCCGGCTCCTGCAGCAGGTGCCTGGAGCCGTGCCCTGAGCCCTTCCAGCGGGGACAGCCCGGGCAGGGCTCCCCCAGGCTGCGCTATCTGACTGCTACAGCTCCGCTCAGCGCTGCCCCTGCAGCCGCCAGCCACGCCTGAGCACCTTTCCATGGGCACACGGCCCCTGGCGAGTGGGAAGCCAGAGGGAGAGTGTGTCTCAGCGAGGCTACGTGACCAGCCCTGCCCCTGGAAAAGGCAGGGGAGGAGAACAGAGGAGAGCTTGTTGAGGGGGACGGCTGCGCTGCCCAAAAGCTTCCCAGCAGAAAAGAAAATGGGTCTGGGCAGGTGCTCCTGACCCCTGGCAGCGGCAGGGAGTCACCGAGGACTGTGCCGGATCCATCCCGCTGCTCCAAAAGTCACAGCCTGTTCCCAGAGGATTATTAACCTGTGGTGAAGCACACTTCAGCGCAGGGCTGTGTCCCAGCGGGGCACGGCAGAGGCCTGTCCCACCCTGCACCGCAGTCCACAGCCGTGGGGAAGGGCAAGGACAGGCAGCAGGGGGTGCGGGGACCCTTGGAAAGCCTTTCTCCAGCCCGCACGGCTGGTCTGCCGCCTTGGGCAAGGGCTGCGGGTCACTCCAGCATTCCGCCCCCTCCGGAGCACCCGGGACCCGCGGGGGCAGCGCCCGGGAAAGCACCCGGGAAAGAAGCCAGGAGCGGCTGCTGCAGCATCGACAGCGGCGGCTCGTCCTCCGGCACCGGGCGGGCAGCGCGGCCGCACCGTAGGAGCGGCCCCCGGGCTCCGTCCCCTTGGCCCGACTCGGCTCGGCTCGGCCCCCGGCGGCGGGGCCAACACCTGCCCGTCCCTGCCCGTCCCATCCCGCCCCGTCCCGTCCCCTCCCGCCCCGTTCCTGCCCGTCCCGCCCGGCCCATTGGCTGCGGCCCCGCTCCCGCCCCGCGCCGCGCCCCCGGGCCCCGCACATATCAGGGGCGCGGCAGCACCGCGCCGGCCGCACCGGGCTGCAAGATGCCGCGCTCCTTCCTGGTGAAGAAGCACTTCTCGGCCAGCAAGAAGCCCAACTACAGCGAGCTGGAGAGCCAGGCCGGTGCGTGGACAGAACGGGCCGTGCACGTGGGGCGCTCCGCGGGGTGGGGCGGGGGCTCCGGTGCGGGATCTCCCTAGGATTCCACTCGGGAGCGGGCGGGGACCGACCGATTTTTCCGCAGATCTGTTTGTTTGTTTCAATTTGGCGCTTCTGGTGGCGCGCGATCCCGTGTCCCGGGATGCTGAGCCGCTCCGTGGTACCTCGGGGATGTCGGTGGCTCCCTCAGGGGTGCGTGGGGAGCTCCCCGTGCCGGGAGCGTGCGGTTCTCCTCAGCCCGTCCCTCGCTGCGAGGCGGGCAGGGCCGCGGGGTCCCTGCGGTGTGAGGTCGGTCACCTTTGCCCCGGGGCGGGCCGCGGCTCTGGGCTCCCGTGGGGTCCCTTTGCTCCTCCTCAGGGCTGCGGCGCGGGGGTCTCAAGGGAGGGCCCGGGATGGGGTCGCACTGAGCCCGCGGGGGTGGGTTAGGGTTCCGAGGGCCCCGCTGACCGCCGCCCCCTCCCGCAGTGCTGGCCGCCCCGCTGCTCTACGAGACGTGCCCGCTGCCCGTCATCCCCCCGCCCGAGGTGCTCGGGCCCGGAGCCTACTACCCTCCGCTGGTGTGGGACGCGGGGCTGCTGTCCAGCCTGTTCCCGGGCGGCCCGGGCAGCGAGGCTGCGGGCGGCGCCGCCCCCGCCCTGGACCTGACGGCGCTCTCCAGCGAGGAGGATGAAGGCAAGAGCTCGGGGCCCCCCAGCCCGGCCTCGGCCCCCGCCGCCGCCGAGCGCTTCCGCTGTGCCCAGTGTGCCAAGGCGTACTCCACCTTCGCCGGGCTCTCCAAGCACAAGCAATTGCACTGCGACGCCCAGGCCAGGAAATCCTTCAGCTGCAAGTACTGTGAGAAGGAGTACGTGAGCCTGGGGGCTCTCAAGATGCACATCCGGAGCCACACGCTGCCCTGCGTCTGCAAGATGTGCGGGAAGGCGTTCTCCCGACCCTGGCTGCTGCAGGGCCACATCCGGACGCACACTGGTAACGTCCCCTCTTGTCCCTCTCCCCCCGCCCTTATCTCCTCCCGCTTCCCTGCTCTCCTGCCCCAGCGAATTGGCGGCCCGGGTGTTATCTGGGAAGATAAGGGTTTCCCAGACCCTCTTGGCACATCTCTCTAAAATGTCCTTTAAATATCCTCTTGGCTGGAACGCAGCGCAGGGTCAAGGCCCAGCCCATAAATCTGTGCTGCTGTCGCGAGTGCAGGGCCTGCCCTGGAGCCGATGGCACACGTTTCCCCAAAATGTCATAAAGCGGGGCTGTGAGCCTGCTGGAGCCCAAAGCATCCCTCCCTGCCGAAGCTGCCCGCCCGCCGCCCGGTCCCTCGGGCTGAGCCCGGCTCCAGGTGCCGGGATGCGCCACCTCGGGCAGGTGCTGCAGGCACCTGTTGGAGCGGGGCCGGGGCCGCAGCTGCAGCCCACCCCGCTGCCCCCACAAAGCATCTCCCGAGCATCCTTTGTGGGGCTGTGGGACGGTGTAATTGTGACTTGGCACTGATTTCACACCCTCTTAACGTACTAAAGATGATGGCTGAAGGAAGCCGGGTAGACTTAATTGTGCTTTCCAAATTGAGCATACACATTTGTTTCCTCCAAAAGAGTCTTTCTGGGAGGAATTCGCCCTGGCCAGGCTTTTCAATGCGAGCCGGGCAGGAGAAGGGGGAGCGCAGGGCTCGGCAGAGGAAATAGCTCCACTCACCCGGGGCTGGCGCCTCGCAGCCGCTGCCTGCTATGATATAATTAACACACAGCGCTCGGCTTTCCTGCCTTGCTGCGAGCTCCTCGCTTGGCTCCGAGCGGGACACGAGTATCGTGTCTTCGTCTGCATGTGCAACTGCCGCGCCTCTTGCAGATGTTTCCAGCATTCATTTTCCGTGCTTCATAGGAAAGGTTTTTCTGGGAGCAGACAGTTCCCAAGCTGGCAGTTCTCCCCCAAGCGATGCTGCGCATACCCGACTTTCCCCCCGAACAATAACAGCCAGCACTTCTTTTCACTGTGCTCTGCACAAACTTTGGCTAATGAATGGCTCCTTCTTTGATATTCCCCATGTGTTGATGCACTGGTTAATTGGGAGCGTTTCTCTTTGTCCTATAGGTGAAAAGCCCTTTTCCTGTACGCACTGCAACCGGGCCTTTGCTGACCGCTCTAATCTCCGCGCCCACCTGCAGACCCATTCAGATGTAAAGAAGTACCAGTGCAAAACCTGCTCCCGGACTTTCTCCCGCATGTCGCTGCTCCACAAGCATGAGGAGACGGGCTGCTCTGGCTCTCGCTGAGGACTCCGCTCCCCACGCCTCTCTCTTCACAAATACCTATATTATAACTAGTTTCTGTAGGAGTTAGTTTCCTCCATGGCCATTGCGGTGTGCACCGGGCTGGACACTGCTCCTCTGGCCCTTGGGACCCTCCCACTCCTCACTCGGTGCCTCCAGTGCAATGCGAGAGCCTGACCACAGAGTGTGCTGGGTTGGGACCCGTCAGGATCATCGAGTCTGATTCCTGGCCCCGTGCAGGACATCCCAAGAACCCCAGCACGCGCTTCCTGAACTGCCACAGGCTTGGTGCTGTGAGCCCTTCTCCCATGCCGGCACGGGGGGCTGCAGTGCTGGGCTCGGTGCCGGGTGTGCGGCTCACGGTCCTGCCCCAGCCCCTCGGCGGTGCCCCCCTGCCAGAGGCTCTCGGCACCTGCAGGGCTGGACCCGCACTGGTATTGAACACTGCGACCATGTAGCTTGGGGGCTTTGGGTTCGATATGTTTGGGTTTTTTTTTATTTTTTAAATTTTTTTTTTTAACACCATAACCACTCGGTAACTTTTAAGAACCAGTATTTTTTTAAATGAAGGACAAGACACTCCCCCCGTACCCCAAGTGTATATAACCCGCCTGTAGAAGGTGTAACTATGCAATAATACAGTATCCCAGTAGTTGTGAAGCAGCTGCTTCTCCCCAGCACAATGACAATTTGCAATGCCTGCGAGATTAACAGTGTCCATGAAAGGCAGGGGTAGCCATTTCAAACCCCAGCCCTGTTTACAGAGCAGCTATGCACTCAAGCACCTGTTAATATGACTCTTAACAACTGCTTTTCAAGAGAACTGTGACTAATAGCAGGCACTTGTCAGCTGATACAATGGTGGCCTGTCCCAAGGCTGGCCATCGACAGGTGTGTGCCAAAAGCCCTATTTATGGGTATTGACAGGTGCCTCCTGAATGCATCTTTCTTTGGACATTGTTTTCATGGAAATCATTACAAAGAAGATGTTTACATTTCAAAGGTACACTGGTATTTATATTTTTGTGCCACAATTTTGTACTGATGAAACTTTTTATATAATGATATACAATTTATTGATATTCAATAAAATCGTTAATTTATAATAGGGTTTTGTGTGTGCTTGGGGTGAATGTTCAGCAGTAAGGAGGGAGTGCTGTGCAGAGCTGGCTGCAGGGCTCAGCTCTGCTCCCACCTGGTGCTCTTGGCCTCTGCTTGCAGGTGACTCGGAATTTGCCGGAGGGAATGTGTGCAGCAGTTGCCGCTCGGGAGGGGAAAAGTCGGGCGGCATCAGCTCCTGCCAGAGGGCTGGGGCAGCTGTGAGGTGGGGTGGGGGTGCAGGGCATCTCTCGGGGGTACAGGGGCTCTCTCGGTGATGCAGGGGCTCTCTCGGTGATGCAGGGGATCTCTCGGGGGTACAGGGGCTCTCCCGGGAGTACAGGGGCTCTCTCGGGGATGCAGGGGATCTCTCGGGAGTACAGGGGCTCTCTCGGTGATGCAGGGGATCTCTCGGGGGTACAGGGGATCTCCCGGGGGTACAGGGGCTCTGCCGGGGGTGCAGGAGATCTCCCAGGTTCCACGAGGGAAAGCACAGGAGTTTGCCCAGCCTGCTCGGGTGGGTGCTGGTTCCCCAGGGAGCTGCTGGAGCACCTGCTGCTCTCCCGTGTCCCTGAGCTCCCCGTGGGGAGCAGGTCCCTGCCGCAGGGCACTGTCCCCGTGTCCCTGAGCCTGCCGGGCCGGCCGCAGCTCCCGGCGGGCCGGGGGAGCCGATGTGGGTGGTGGGCACAGAGCTGACACATCCCCTGTCAGAGCTGGGACACAGCAGGGGCTGCCCCTCGAGGCTTTCCACAGCCCCAAAGCACCTGCCGTGCACCTTCCCTCCTCCCCAGGTCCGGGCTGCTTCAGAGCCCGCAGCCAGCCTTGCTGCCAGCCTGCCCCAGGGCCTGCGCTTTCCTGCTCTCCGCATTTCCTCGGTGCCATCTCCCGGACGTTGCTTTCCTCCGGGGAATGAAAGGGAGCGACTCCTCACCCCCCTCCAGCCCGCGGCTGCCCGGCTCCCTGCGCCTCTCCCGGGGCTGCTCGGAGCAGGAAGATGTGTGTGCCTGTAAAAGTCAGCAGAGCTGCTGCTCGGCCCTTCTTTAATTAAGAGCTCACCCGGTATAAACTGACTTTCCCAGCCGAGTTGGACTCATTACTCGATTATTAAGCAGGGCAGGAAGTTTTGGGTTTGCTCTTGTGTGTGCTTTTCTTCCTTTTCCCAACAGGAAGCGGGGGAGGGGCACTAATTACTTTCAGCTTTCCATCCATAAAATCCTGGAGCCGCAAAAGCAGCTAAATAGTTAAAAAAAAAATAAAAAATAAAAAAGAGACCAATTTTGAGAGGGGACCACCTGCAGGAGCTGGAAAGGAGGATCGAGGAGTGGGTGTGCTGGGAGCAGCAGCCCTGGCAGCCCCGGCCGGCTTGGCTTTGCAGCTCCCACAGCAGCATCAGAGCCCTGCACCGCTGGGCTTTGCCCCCCTCCATGTCTGCCAGGGGACCCCGACCCTTTCCCGTGTCATTCAGGATCTCACTCCATCCCTGGCACCCACCGGGGACCTCTGCCAGCTCCCTCTCAATGGGCTTCAACTAATATTGGTCAGGCCGGCGGTGAGAGCTGTGAGAAACCTCCTCCTCAGCAAGCTCTGCTGCTCTCACTTGTGCTCCTGGCTTTGTCCAGCGGCTGGCTGGGACGCCAGGCCTTTAGAGGGAAGGTATAAACCGGGTGGAGAGCAGCCTAGGCTGGACTGGCAAATCCCGCTGGCATTCAAACACAAATGCAGCCTTAAAACACGGGAAAAAAGAGACGCTGCATGTTCTGAATCACAAAAGCACAGCCCACTGGAACTTGGGTTGCTGCTGCATCTGCTTCTTGCCCTGCCCAGCAGCCTGTGCCCGGGGACCGGCTGCTCAGGTGATGTCCCACCCCTCGGGCCAGTGCCTCAGACCTGCCCAGGTATCACCCAGCTCTGGACCAGCTGCTGTCCCCTCGCAGGGTGATGAATGTGCTCCAGACATCTCATTTTCTGATCAGCTGCTCAATTTACTACTTAAACTATTTATTTTTTCTACCTAGGGATGTTGGGGATGCAGAGCCTGGAGGACCATGGCCAGGACACCCTTGGGTCCAGCTCAAGCTGGCTCCACACAAGGGTCATCCCTTCTGGTCTCTCCCCACCCCTGCAGACCTCTTCTCTGATGGAGAAAGGCACTCGGGAGCTGGGCCTGGGGAGAAGTGACAATTTCTTTTTAATTTCATTTTCTGAAGGAAAGCCGCTGAGCAGCATCGCTGGCAGCGGGGCCGCGGTGCCCTGCCCTTGTTCCCCTGTGCTCAGCGGGGCAGCCAGCGCTGCTCAGCGGAGCCGGGGGCTCCGGCACAAAAGCTCAGCAATTTCCCGGCTCTGTTTAACGCCAGGTCCCTCGGGCCGGGCCAGGTAGCGCAGGCTGTGCCCTGGGCTGGGAGCGGGCCCGGCGATTATCGGGGGAGCCATTTGGTGGCCGCCCTGTGTGAGCCCCTGTGAGAGGCTGCGGTGCCAGCGCTGGTACAGCCGGGGTTCGCTGGGAGGCTCGCTGGGAGCGGGAACTCCCGGGGCAGACCCACGTGGAGACACCGCGTAAAAAAGGGATTTAAGGCTTCCATGCTACCATTTGAAGTCATCCTGTCCTTTCTCTGCAAGCATCTGGAGCATCCCAGAGGGATGAGAAGGAAAGCAGGAGGATTACAGCCGCCTTTGCAAAGGCTGAGCTTCAATAATTTGGGGACCACAGTTCCCAAAATTTCCTTGGTCACCCCTTGTGACCAAGCGAAGCACACCTGCTCCTTGTGCTGTGAGGAGCTCTGGGGTCCACCAGAATGCCTCTTCTCACCTCCAGAGCAGTAGAAAGAAAAAAAAAAATCCACTTTCTTCTCCTGTCACTGCAAACCTGTGTGCTGGAAATGTTCTCATGATTCTCTGATCTCCTGCATCCCCCCCAGCCTCTGCAGGAGCATTTCCAGCGCCTGAGCACTCAGCCAAAGCTCAGCCCTTACCAAGTGCAGCAGCCCAATTCTTCTGGCTCTTACCTTAGCTAGAAAAAGCTGAACAAAGGAACACAAACCGGGCAGAATCCAGGGGATTACCGAAGCCAATTCCTGATTTGGGGCAGGGAATGATCGGAGCTTTGTGGCAGAAGCTGGGACGGCTCGGGGGTGATCAGCAGGGACAGCCTGGGTTTCCCACTTGCGATAGCTGGGATGCAGGAGGTCTCAGAGGGAGCGTGAGGTTTTCCCTGTCTGGAGAAGGGCAGCAGGTGCCGGTGCAGGGCTCAGCCTGTCAACAGGCAGTGCCGTGAAAGCCTCTGTCCATTAACAGCTCGCCATAAGGAGCGGGGCTCACAAACAAACTGCAGGTGTAGCTCTTGTTTTTCTGCCTCTGGGCTATTGACATGTGCAATAATCTCAGATTAATCTTTAATGGGATGATGAACCGATAGCGTGGGGCTGGGGAGGTGCGAGTCTTCCCATGCAGATAAAGCATTGCAAATGCAGAAGGAAAGGGCCCGGCAGCCTGGGGAAGGGCCGTGAGGCTGGAGGGCTGAAATAAAGGTGATGTCTCGCCCCCTGGCCGCCCCCAGAGCAGCGGGCACAGGGGTGATGCCCCCAGGGCTGCACCGTGCCCCAGCAGAGCCTCAGGCACCCGAGCTGTGGGCACAAAGCTGCTGTGATTCATTCCTTGTCCTGAGGATGGGCACTGGCACCAGGGCCACTGGCACACCCCAGCAGGGCCCACTGGCCTCTCCACCCTGAGAGGTGCCAGAGGCAGCAGCCAGCCCGTGCCGCCCGCTCTACAACGCCGTGCTGTGACTTATTGGAGATCTGCCTAGAAAATCATCAGAAAGTATTTTAAATCTAGCATAATATACATATGTATGGGTCACCTTCTGTTTTACTGGGCTCCCTGAAAGCAATGTGAGGCCTGTTCTGCTTTTCCCAATAAAAAGGCTCACATTTCACATGGAGGAGATTGGCGGCTCCCGAGCTAATTAGTCCGGGTTTCCCTCCACCTCCGCATTTTCCACGCAGGGTTATGCTGGCGACACTTTGTCTGTGGCTGCTCCGGGAGGACGGTGCTGCACATTGAGCCTCCTTTGCCGCGATGTGCAGAGCGGGGCAGGGCGAGGAAGTGGCGGCGTGTTGTGGCACGGAGTCATGGCCCGTTATAAAGAGCTTCAAGGGCCTGCATTATGTCATTACTCAATTAGCCTGTTGGTAATAGCACTTCATTAGAGAGACAGTTCCTATTCACTGGCCTTAATCCACTTTCTAAAGCCAGGGCTAGAGCCATTGATCGCTTTTCCCGCTTTCCTGATGAGGCAGAAAGTGTTTTTGGAGAGTGGCCCCGCGGAGGGGGGAGTGATGCTGCTGCCGTGGCCAGGATGTGTTCCTGCCGCTGGGACAGGGGTGGCACCCCGGCAGCTCAGGTGGGGCGGGCAGAGCACCTGCCCTCCTCAGAAATCAGCCCGTTTATCGGGGAACCGGTGAGTTTTGGTGGCAATCCATCGGTGGCCGCAGGACACGAGCTGTCCCCACCCTGTGGGATGCGAGCCCACGCCAGGGATGCTCCGGTGCGGTTCGGGCGCTGCCTGCCCAGCCCGAGCCTCGCTTCGGACCAGAAGCGGGCCAGAAGGAAGAGCTGCTCCTCTGATTTCATTTTTATTTCCTCCCCACACGCCCTGACACGCAGAGCTCGGAGGAAAGCAAAGCACGGTAGGAAGTGGTGCGAGAGCCACACGCAGGAAGCCGATGTGTGTCAGGAAAGGACGGCAGGAGCGAGGGAGGAGCAGCTGGTGCGGAACTGCCCGCCGGGGCAGGGGCACACAGAGCCCTTCCTCCTCTCTAAAGGCGTCTGCTGCCACTCGAGGTGCTGACAGAGCGAACACAGAGCTGCAGGGAACTCGCAGCCCTGCCCAGGGCAATGCTCCCTGTGTCCTGCCCGTCCAGTCGGCTTCAAAGCCTGGGGGGTCCTGCAGGGACCCGGTGCCCCAAGTCCCCCCACCACAATGGCCAGAGCATCCTCAAGAGCAGCCCTG